TCTAAAATAATCATCGGCTCTAGTGTAATTTATGTAACAAGTACCTTAAAATATTTTTTCACCTCAATTCAATTTAATCTGGTACATTAATATTTAATGAATATCTAAGTAAGACGAGGGTAATAGTATTTTTTTACTAGTCATTTTTCGGTCGAATTCTCATACATATTCGATTGGCTATTATATTATTTTGACGTGGAGGAGATGAAAAACCTTGATTTTAAATATCATCATGAGAGTTGTGCTCCATATACTAGAGCTTTTTTCTTTGTATTATTTGTTTATACTTTCGAATATCAAGATGTTAGCAAGGACTGTTAGATATGTTTTTTTTTTCAACCCTAAGGTTGGTTTTGAAATTTTCCAAAATTTCTCCATTCATCTCTATTGTCAGCTAACCTCTTCAGCTCCTTATAGTTTGCTAGACCCGCATCGGAAATCATCTTTTTGATATAAGACGTTCTTGGTCGTCCTCGATCTCTTTTGCCATTCATCTTCCCTTCTATTAGAATATATAGAAGCTCTTCTTCGTGTCTTAATACATGACCAATCATATTCCATCTTCTTTCTTTTATGGTGCTAAGTATCTTCCTGGTTTCATTTATTTCGTTTAAAACATTTTCGTTAGTTCTTTTTTCTACCCAGCTTACTCTCAACATTCTTCTCCAGCACCACATCTCGAAACTTTCGAGGAGCTTATGTTCCGTTTTGTTTAATACCCATGTTTCGCATCCGTACAGTGCGACACTCCACACATATACCTTTACCAACCGTTTCCTCATACGTATATTCACGTTTTTAGAGCACAGTAGGTTTCTTTTGTTCATGAATGCTGTTTTTGCTTGAGCGATCCTTGCTTTTATTTCCATAGTACATTTTCCATCTTGACTAATTATACTACCTAGATATCTAAAGTTTTCCACTTGATCGAGAGTGTGGTTATCAATTTTAATTCTTATTCTGCGAATACGATTCTTTTTTTGACACATCGATACCTTGGTTTTATTCCATTTGATTTTAAGGTGATAATTTTGGAAGCACCTTGCTTTTTCTTCTAACGCTCTTTTGAGATCGTTTTCGCTGCTTGCAACAAGAGCTATGTCATCGGCGAATCTTAAAAATGATATCAATTCTCCTCCTACTATCATTCCAATTTTATCTCTGGTGAATGTTTCTTTAATTTCATTGATATATTGTTCTACATAAATATTAAATAACTTTGGTGACAGTGACACCCGTGTTTTACTCCTTTTCCTATTTTAGCTGTTGCAGACTTGTCTGACACTTTTATTATAGCTAATTGCTCTTTGTATATGTTGTATATTAACTGTCTGTCTCTATAATCAATGCCTATTTCTTCTAATGTCTTAAAAAGTTCCTTCCAGGGAACTGTGTCAAATGTCTTCTCTAAATGGATAAATGCGATAAATGTATCGTTGTTAAATTCGATCTGTTTTTCAATTTATGTTCTAAGGCTTAAGTTCGCTTCTCTAGTACCCTTGTTTTTTCTAAATCCGAATTGTTCATTACTTAATTGTCTTTCAATTTTATGTTCTATCCGGTTACCTATTATTTTTACTAAGATTTTAGCCGAGTGTATCATCAGACTCAGGATTCTATATTCATTGCATTTTTCCGCCGTTGCTTTCTTGGGGAGAGTTATTAAAATGATTTTTTTTAAATCTTCTGGTATTTCTCCAGTTATATAGATGTCATTTACCAATTTGAACAAATCGTTCTGAATTTTTGTACCTGCATTTTGAATCAGTTCTGTTGATATATTGTCTACACCTGGGGTTTTCCTAGTTTTCATCATCTTAAGGACTTGATTGAATTCTTAGGATTGGTGCACCCTCATTATCTGGGTTACTTCCATTATGTAGGCTTGTTATCTCTTCATCTTGATACAGAACTTCAAGATATTGTTTCCATCTACTAGCAATGTCTTCGTTGTCTATTAGTAGATTTCCGTTTTCATCTCTTATTTTGCTGTTAACTTTTGTTTTACTACTGACAAATTTCTTTATTGTATTAAACGCTTGGTCCATTTTGTTTTCTTTTAGTAATAGCTCTACTTCATGACATCTATCTTCCAGCCATTTCTCCCTTGCTTCTTTTGCATTTCTGTTTATTTTGTTTTTAAGTTCTTTATATTTTATTATTCCTTAGTTGTCTTTGGAGTTTTTGTACTTTCTTCTTTCCTCAATATCTCTTAGAATTTGTTCATTTATCCATGGTTTTTTGGGATCTAACGTATTTCTTATAAGAGTTTTATTGGCTGCATTATGTATAGTTTCTTTGATTGCTTCCCATCTTATATTTGTTGACTCAATTTGTGAGGGTACTTTGCATGTTTTACTGATGCATGATTCATAGGCTAACGCTGTATTATGATTTTTTAGCATATTTACGTCATATCTTCTTTCCTTTTTTGTAAGTTTCATCAGTTTTTTATATGTAACATTGCTTTTAATCATTAAGAGGTCATAGTCGCTGTCCACATCGGCGCCTGGGTAAGTTTTACATCTCCGAACTTGATTTCTGAAGCGTTTTCTTACCAATATATAATCGATTTGGTATCGACCAATGTCCCCTGGCATTTTCCACGTATACCTTTTTCTCCGATGGATGTTTTGGTTTGTGCTTGTTATGACTAAGTCATATTGTTTGCAGAAATCTATAAGTCGGTCTCCCCTTTCGTTTCTAGTACCCAATCCATAGGCTCCTACTACTTGCCCATCAGCACCTTCACCTACAACAGCTTTCCAATCCCCTATTATTATTAAGTTATCACTTCCTTTCGCTAATTTACAGAGTTCCTCGAGTCCTGCGTACATTTCTTCTATCTCGTTGTCCACTGCTTCAGTTGTTAAGATTCTTCTTAAATAAATCGTCAAATATTTTTAGAGATATTTATGTGAAAAACACATTCCCCTAAAATTTAATTATAATATTATATTACTTATATCCTTGAATATATTATATTGAATAATATTTTATAATATATAATATTATATATATATATTGAATAATAGTGAAATAGCTACTCACTCCTGTAAACTATTCTACTAGGAAAGGAATTAATTATTAAATTTTGCATTTAGTATATGAGCGGTTACCGCCAAGATGTATCTTAGATGGACGAGGAGCGCGTTGTATAAAGTGTCGCAGACAAATAAAAGATGATGTTCATCATTTAAACAGACACATAATGATACAATGTGGTCATGGTTAGTATTGTAGTTCAAATGCATTTTAAATATATTTTTACTGATTTTAAAACCATTAACTCTAGTTTTCTAACAAATATATACCAATAGAATAATTTCAGTTTAAATGCTTTTATGCGAATAATTTTTACCATAATTTTACCATGATGTGTCTATTTTTTTTTTTATATTTACTTATTTTTTTGTATCACCACTACTTTTACTCAGCTCTCACTGGACTGATTTTTCTCAAAAATTAAATTGAAGGCATATCTTCATAAATTGAAAATTTTTCCCTCGTTTCCGGTAAATAGTGAAAAAAATTACGATTTTTAGAATCAATAAATTTTACATTTTATTTTAAATTGCTATTTTGAGAAATGAACAATTTAAAATAAATCTTTTTTATATTCAATTGTTAAATATTTCTCTTACATTTGATATGATTTTTTTGAAAATCTGACCCTTTACCTGCCCACAGGGGGAATTCAAAATAGCAACTTGATCAAAAAAATTAAAATTTTTCAACTTAAGTTTTGAAAATCTTTCGGAAATACTCCGAGCTTCAAAAATATGTTAAAATAAAGCTAATGTTCAGTATTATAAGTTCAAAAACAACATTTTCCCGATGACTTAAATTCTATGCATTATTACCATTATTATTTTTATTTATTTTAAAATACATTATAATGGGGGTACAATGATTTTCATGGATATTATATTAAACTATTTCACATAGAATAATGTTAAACTTTTTACAATTTTTTTTTCTTTTAAGTCGAAAAAATTAATTAAAAATTTTAATCAGCTTAAATTGCCAATTTTATCAAAAAACAAATGCAACGAACGTTTGCCGATTCAGTAAAAATCATTGCCCGTGTCAATGATTTTTTTGCAATTTTTCCGTAAATCTTTTTGAATTATAATTTTTCATTTCAATAATACACCCAATTCTTAAAATTAAACACTATTTACATATTTGCATCGAAGCGTTTCTATGGTAATGATTTTAATCACTGTCAGATATTGTCTATACTAGTCCCAACTACGCTACGCTCACACTGTGCCGCGACTTCACTATGATACCGTTTTTTAAAACCTATATTTATAAATTAGTCATTAATTCTATTATCTTGATATTAAACGAAAAATTTTTACAGGAAAATAACTCATAAATTATAAAAATAAATTTTAATTTTCATAAAAAATAATGATATGTAATAAAAGGTTATTATAAAAAACTTCCATTTTACATTTATCTGCAGTTATATCTTTGTAATCAGAAGAATGAAAGTGATATTTAATAACTTGATTATTAGAATTATGGTAGTTTACTAAATTGTGTATAGACATATACATCATTGCTACTTGATTATGTTTTTTTAAAAAGTTTTATTTAACTTTAAAAAATTTCATGCAGTTTAATAAATCCCTTCTGTATCGTTCGTTTTTTTTAAATTTGTATCCGTTAGATTTGTGATTTTTTTGAACTACAAATGACTACAAATTAAAACACTATTACCCACGACCAACTTACGCATATTAATATAAAATATTAAATTAGTAAATTTGTAACATTATAAACAAACAATAACATGCATTGCTAGTGTAATATTTAGTATCTATCATATATAAACAATGAATGTCCTAGTAATTTAATCAAGTTTTCATAATAATTAATTTTGAATAGCATTATTTAAAAATTTAATTTTGTACAAATAAAGAACGTGTATATTTAAGGAAAAAAAAGAGTTTTAAATGAATCAAAGCAATATTAATTAAAGAAATAACATTGTTAAAATTATTTATTGTTTTTTCAATTTTACACACAATTTATTTGTTTTTTTCTTGGAACATAATGAACACTTTTTTTCCTTAATGCATTTACTACAATACCAACCATGACCACATGGTATCATTATGTGTCTCTTTGAATTATGAACATCATCTATTATTTGATTACGGCACAATACACAACGTATTTTTCGTTCATCCATGATACATCTTGGCGGTAAAGGATTGTACTCTAAATGCAAATATAAAAAATTAGTTCCTTTCCTAGTAGAATGGTTTACAGGAGTGAGTAGCTATTTCACTATTCAAGGATATAAGTAATATAAAATTATAATTAAATTTTTAGGGGAATGTGTTTTGCACATCAATAATCGTATTAAGGAAAATGAAAGAGTTTTAAAAAATGACTTGTTTTTATTTTAATAAATTAATATTTAAAGTACATATAACACATATGTATTAAAAATATAAATAAGCATGATATTTTTTATTTATTTTTACAACAAAAAATGTGATTATATCACATCAGATCATATAGAGAAAATAATTACATTTTTTCCTTTAATGTGGGACAAAATATTTAATTAAATTAATTTTAGATATTATTTTTAATTGATTATTTCTGAATATTTAAAAAAATATATATAATGAAAATTATATAAAAGGGAAAGAAATGTTAACAAAATATAAATTTTTATAAACGACCGCACTAAATAGCTTTTTTTTTTCTTTTCTTACAATAAATAAATGTTCCATAATAATTTTGGGAAAATTACAGCTATTCAACTATTCAAATTAATAAAACATTATATTTATATTAGTGATAATTAGTTTCAAATACGTTTTGAACATAAAAACAAGAAGGCAATATTTGATAAGAGAAAAAATTGTTTAATGAAATAGTTATTGTAAAAAAGTTATTAGATTTGTCATATCATCGTGAAAGGCAGTTTTCTCTATATCAATTTTATTAAATGACTTTTCTAATATGATAAAGATATAAAATTTCAAATAATATTTATTCGTTATCTATTTGTAAAAACAAAAATATTTTATTCATTTGTATATGGATGGATATAAATTTATTTCTGCTAAATATAAAACTAAATAAAAGATATTCGCATAAACATTTCCTAAATAATATAATAAATATAGCTTTCAGTATAGTAATGAGTTTCTAAAAAAGAAAATCATGTAATTTCTGGATGGATATATAATTTTAGTGGCATATCCAAGAAGGAGGTGGCTTTTTATAACCCCCAATTTGCTAATTATTATGATTCAATGTATTTAACTTTAACGTTAGTAATACTATGTGATAAACAAAAAAAAAGGGTTCTTAGACCACTCAAGCTAATGTACTAAACATAAAAGCCATTACAAAGAAACGCTTTTAATATTTCATTTCATTAATGTTTCAATAAGTAGTTATAATTTATATACCTTTAGTAACTATTGATACGAAAGTTGCTATATTTAGATGTTGATTATTTGTAACCTCTTCATGGCATGCAGGACACTTAGTCAATTCGCTTTTACAATATTTACTGCGCCAGCCATGTCCACATGGTGCAAAAACATAAATACTGCTAATATCACTGTGTTCTCCGTTACATGTAATACATGAGGTTTGATCTACAGAAAAAAAAACAGTTGTTAAATAATTATATCGGTAATAATTTCTAGAAATTTTAAATTTTAGTTTTCAGTTTAAAGCATTATAAGTATTATTTTAACGCTTTTAAAACCCATTAAAAACTATAGACGGCAAATCAGAAGAGTAGTTTTTTAAACATGTACTGTTATTTACAAAATATATACTTATAGTATAATTTGAGTTTANGTTATTTACAAAATATATACTTATAGTATAATTTGAGTTTATTTAAAACTATATTTAAAAAAATAGCCATTAATTCAATTATCTTGAAATTGAATTACAAATTTGTACAGAAATATATTTCATAAATTATAAACATAAATTTTTATTTTTATAAAAAATAATATTATGTATTAAAACGTTATAAAAAAAACTTCCTTCTTACATTTATCTCCTGTGATACATTTAAAATAAGGAGAAAATTGTGTAAAAGTCAATTGATAATTTATAACATTATCATTCTTATTTAGGTATTCTTCCAATTCGTTTACATTCATTTCATTCGTTGATAAATTATCAGGTTCTCTTAAAAAGTGCACTTTATCTTTCATTAAATTCATACAGCCTAATAAATCATTTCTGTAATCTTCGTTTTCGTTTTCTTTTTTAAATTTGTATTTGTTATTTTTTTTTTCGTATTTTTTGTAAACATCTAAAATACATTCATACGGTTCAGGAGAAATCCATTCTCTATTAATTATCGGTATAAGTACAGTAAGTTTATTACTAAATACTTTTAAGTTAAATGATATTTCAGCACCTCTTTTATTCATTTCTATTGCACACTCGCAGAACCGATACATAAATGTAAAGATCATACTTTCTATAGCGTTCAAAAAAATTGTATAAGCCAATTTATAATTTTCTTTGTCCACACAGTTCATAACCACATACTTCAATTTTCTATTTATTATTTCTATACCTTCATAAGGAATTTCATTTTCTTCTACTGCGTGACTGTAAGGCACTGGACAAAAGTTTTCCCCATCGTGTGATTTTATATAATGAGGATGTTGTTCCAAATAGACATGATGAAAATTTGGGTATTCCCTTTCAAGAGTATTTATGTCCTCATATGTGATATTATTTAGATCTACACAAATCGATTGGTTGATAGTTTGAATTAAAAGTATTATGAATTTGAATATATTGAGTAACATATTATTCTTAGAGAATATTCAACAATTTTTAATTTCACAAATGTGTATCAATTAAAATAAAATAGTTTTGAAATAAAATATATACTGACTTAAAAATATATAATTACAAGAATGTAACAAGACTATTTATAAGAAGTAGTTACAAGTGTATTTAAAATACCGGATCAAAAATAAACTTTTATTATGTACTTTAATCATATATGAACAATTGTAATTTAAAATATAATTTATTGTATTATATAAAAATAACAATTTTCTTTAAAGAAATGATTAATGGAAAAAAGTAAATGATCATTATATTAAAAATATAATACTATTTAATTATATATCTATTTTGAACAGTTTATTTTGACTTAACTGTTTTTAATTATTTCCAATCTAATTTAAAATTTTACAAGATGAACAATTCTAATGAAAATTCGTAATATCATAAAAATAATAACTTTTATCTTGGATGCGAAGCTGAGAAGGTATTGATTTTACTATGACGTGTTTTTTTTTGTGTCTGTTATCACTTTTTCTCAGCTCTCACCGAACCGATTTCTTTCAATAATACGTCAAAATATCACAAATTGTATCTAGTCGAACACATTACCTTAAAAAATTGAAAAAACTTCCCTCGTTCCCCGTAAATGGGGGAAACCTCCAAAAAAATTAAAAATTTAAAAAAAGCTAATTTTCGAAATTTTTTCAATTTTTTTTACTAAAAACTGCCATAACTTTTCAAAAATGAACAAATCAATATAATTTTTTTTTATATAATTGCATGATGTCCTTACCTATGATTTAGTATATATTTTTTATAAATTTGTCCCTTAACCTGCCCACAGGGGGGTATTTTAAATGACAACTTTTTCACAAAAAATTAACTTTTTCAACTTAATTTTTGAAAATGTTTCGGAAAATCTGACACTTATATATATATATTACATTAAAGATATTGTAATGCACTTTATTATGGAAAAAAAAATGTGATCTTCGGCTTTGTCTTTGTGGTGAAAATAGCTACCGAATGCTATTTTTATGTGAAAATTCTCGATTTTATATATTATAATTTTTACTTTAAAATGCTATAACTTTTTAAAAAATTTATGGATCAATACAATTTTTTCATGGAAAGTAGTATTTTTTTTTTTGTTTTTTCTTTATTAGCTTTCAATACAAAGTATTATAATAGCTTAACAATTAAATAAAACGAGAAAAGAAAAAATAATAATAATAATAAAAATAGTACAATTGATCTGACATCAACAAAATTATAATAAAATTACAGTAAAATATCGTTAAAAAAAAACCAGCTGAATGAATGAAAGAAATAACTAAAGAAATTACATCGTGAGAAGTTGAGTTAAGAATAGTGTAACAATTAATAGGAGAGATATTAAGATGAGATAAATTATTAAATAAAATAGAACGATTACTTTCAAATGCACAGCAGTCAAAAATTATATGAGGAAAGTCGCAGAGAACTTCATCGTCAAGTTTGGAGCACATAGGAGAATTGTTAAGGGACATTTTGTACGCATGGAAAGAAGGCGATTAAGACCAAGTCTTAGTCGAGAAAAGGATAATATATGGAACCGGGAGAGAGGAAGTTTATGGAACAAAGGATGATTTGGAATAGTTGGTGAAATTGATTTGTGCCAAGCTGTGATGAGAGAGAAAGGAGTAGACCAATATTCTTGCCATGCTAGAAATATCGTCTTATTAAGGGATGAAACGAAGTCGGATGAAGGAATATTGAGGGTTGGACGGCAGGTAATGAATTTGGTAAGTTTAGCTAAATGGTCAGCCTCCTCATTACCAAAAATACCAACATGACTAGGACACCATAAAAATTCGATTTTTGTATTAGCTAAGAAAAGATAATAAATTAACGCTTTTATTTTAATAATAAGAAAAGATCTGGATTTTTTGAATGAATTAGAAGAGAGAGAAGAATGAACTGATAAAGAGTCAGTAATTATTAAAACATAAGAAATATTGAAGGATTGAATAAGCTCAACGGCCGAAGAAATGACATAACACTCAGTAGTAAAAGAACAAGATTGTGAAGGAAGAATAACTAAGAATTTAATCTTAAGACTAGGAATAAAGAAAGAGAAACCAGCGGAATTAGAGCTTATTGAAACGTCAGTAAACATAAGACAATAATTGGAGAAATTAGAGAATAAAAACTCATTGAATTTACATACATCTTTCATTCGACATACTTTATCTTAATCAGGATATTATTGAGGAAATAGCAGATCATGAAACTTTTGGAACAATCCGCCGATATTTTAAAATTGAACACTATCTAAAGATTTGCATCGAAGCGTTTTTTTTTATAGTAATTTTAATCACTGTCAGATATCATTATACTTGATCCAACAATGCCACGTCACCACTGTGCCGTGATCCCCCTGTGCTACGTAATTTTATGAACTTTATTATATGAGTCAATAAAAAAAAAATACAGAAAATATTAAAAATCAACTTAAGTATTAACTTTTTTTTTTTTAATTTATGACGACCATATTGATTAATTGATAAATATGTAAAATTTAATAATTATTAAATAATTTTATTTATTGTATTGAAATTCAATAACATTCTAAAAGTGTACTTATTATTAATACAGGATGAGATATCTAATTAGGATAAATAATGTCACATTTCTAATCGTCATAATTAATTGAAAATTTGAATATTTTTTCTAATATTAATTTCCAGAAAAATGTTTAAAAACAGCTTCAGGTTTTCAACTTACACTACACTTCTTTAAAGGCGTGTAAATAATAAATAACACAATTTATGCATTGACGCAAACGCACATGTATTTACTCAAGAATTTAAATTAAATTCGTTTAGTATAGTAAATTTAGATTTCAAACTATTATTCATATAATTTATATTTTAGGAAAGCTTTACAAGTAATAATTTTAATTGTTTCAAGCAAACTTTATCAAACATATTTTTTAGAACGATTCCATATTAAAAATATATTAAATATTAAAAAGCATATTAAGTATTAACTTTTTTCCTTATTTATAATGTCACAATGGCTAGCATATTAATTAAATAATATGTAATTTTTTATAATTATTAAATCATTTTATTTAATATATTTTTATCATAGTAATTTTATAAATATTATACTATTTTACTTCTTTATATATTTTGAACAGTTTAATTTGACATAACTGTTTTAAATTTATACCAATCTAATTTAAATTTTTTAAATATATTGCTAGTAAACTATTACAATAAAAATTCGTAAATCATAAAAAAGTATAAAATTTTAAATATCTATTTTAAAACAGTAATTTTATAAACTATATTTTGACATATAAAAAACTGTTTGTATATTATATAAATTATATCGGTTCGACATTTATAAATATATAAATTTATATTTTAATCAGAGAAAATGAGGCGCAATTTAAAGCATAATGACCTACTTCAATTAAAAAAAAAATAATAATGTGTTTAACATTTATTGAGAATAATTGAATTAGAATTTTTTATGATAACAATGATAAATTTTTATAATATACTCAATGTTTTCTTAAGTTTAGTAATAGATGACCTACTTTTAATTAGATAATACATATTTAGTATTTTATTAGCAATACCTATAGTAAACTAATAGAATTTTATCATTTCCGTTAAAAAAATATTATAAATTGACATTTTTAATTTAATTAATAGTCAGTTTTCAATATTGAGAATTTTACCAATTGGTCATATATATCAAGAAGTATATCTAACAAAATTTCATGATGAATATTTTCTTTAAGAGATTTAATGATGACAACTTGCCCTTGTCTTTTCTAAATGCGTGAAAATAATAAATAACACAATTTATGCATTGACGCAAACGTGCATGTATTTATTTAAGAATTTACATTAAATTCGTTTAGTAAATTAAATTTAGATTTCAAATCATTATTCATATAATTTATGTTTTAGGAAAGCATTACAAATAATAAAATAGTATTATTTGTTTGAAAAAATGTCGGTCAAAAATATTTTTTAAAATGAGTCCACATTAATCATGAATCAAATATCAATATACAGTTTAAGTATTAAGTCGTTTCATTATTTATAATGTCACAATGGCAAGCATATTAATTAGATAATATGTAAATTTTTATAATTATTAAATCATTTTATTTATAATAATTTTGGCTTTTGTAAGAAAAATAATTAATAATTTTTATTAAATCTGTAAAAATATTTTATACAGAAACAAAAAATAGAATAAATTCAAGAATAAGGTTTATATAGACAAAAAAAAATCAACTCTCTAAAAATATTTGCAGACTTATTTAAAATAAAATAAAATAAATTAAATTAAATTAAACTTCATTATTCAGTTATATCAGATCTAAAATGATTTGTACAATAAATATAACTAATTACGCTAAAATTTAAAATTACTAATATATTTAATTATAATAATAATGGTGATTAACGTTGATAAATGAAATTCAATTATATAAAAAGTATTTTTATAGTTATATAAAACCAAATATATGGCCTTAATTATAAACAAACAATATAATGCATTTCTATTGTAATATCCAGTAGCAAGCATATAGTACCAATAAATTTTTTAATAATTTAATCATGTTTTCGTAATGTTTAATTTTGAACTGCATTATTTAAAAATGTAATTTTGTACAAATCAAAGCAATATTAATTAAAGAAATAACATTAATAGATTTATTCATTTTTTTTTTTCAAATTTACACACAGTTTATCTGTTACTTCCCTGGGACATAATGAACACTTATTTTCCTTAATGCATTTACTACAATACCAACCATGACCACATGGTATCATTATGTGTCTGTTTGAATGATCATCATCATCTATAATATGACTACGACATCTTACACAACGCACTTTTCGTCTATCTATGGCACATCTCGTCTGTAAGTTCCAATACTCTAATTGCAAATATTAAAAATTAGTTCGTTTTTTAGTACGAAAGTTTAGAAGAGTGAGCAGCTATTTTACTTTTCACTCAGGGATATTAAGTAATATAAAATGATGATTAAATTTTAACGGACAAATTTTTTGCACATCATTAATCGTGTTAAGAATAATAAAAGAGTTAAAAAAAAAAATTTTTTTTTGTTTTGATAATTATAATATTTTAAGTGTACGTAACACGAATCTATTAAAAATATAATATAAGTATTACTTTTTTTATTTATTTATCACAACAAAAAACGTATCACATGAAGTAATCACATTAGATAAAAAATAATGATAGTTCTATGATAATTTTAGGAATAAATAGTTTCAAATATTTTTGAACATAAAAACTAAAAGGTAAAAATTGTTATAAGAAAAAATTGTTTAACAAAATAGATATTAGATTTGTCATATCATCTTGATTGACACATTTCATATACAGTTATGAAAAAAACAGTTTTCACAATGTCAATTTTATTATTAAATTTTACCTTTGTACTCTTAATATGATAAAGACATCAAATTTTAAAGCAAAAATAACATATCGTTCTTGCTGAAATGTTATAACCACTATTTAAAATTTTTATAATATTCAAGATATTTGCATAAATATTTCCTAAATAATATAGTAAATATATCATTCAGTATGATAATGAATTTCTAAAAAAAAAACATGTTATTTTTGGATGGATATATAATTTTTGTGGAGTATCCAATAGGGAGGCGGCCTTTATAACGTCCAATTTGTTAATTATTATGATTAAATGTATTTAACTTTGACGTTAGTAATACTGTTTGATAAGCAAAACAAAAGTTTCTTTTACCACTCAAGCTAATTTACTAAACATAAAAGCCAATATAAAGAAACACTTTTATTATTTTATTTCGTTAATGTTTCAGTAAGTAATTATGTATTATATACTTTCAGTAACTATTGACACAGATGTTCGTATATTTAATTTTTGAGTACTTGTAACCTCTTGATCACATACTGGACACTCAGTCAATTGTCGACTACACCATTTACAGCACCAGCCATGTCCACATGGTGATAAAATATAAACTTCATTAGTCGTACCTATGTGTTCTTTCTTGCATCTTATACAATAGCTTTGATCTATAGCAAAAATAGATAAAGCTGATAAATAATTATATTGGTATTAATTTCTCTAAATTTTGACTTTTAGTTTTCAGTTCAAAAGCATTTAAATTATTTTTTTAAATGCATTTAGAACCCATTAAAATTCTATAGCCGGCAAATCAGAAGAGTAGTTTTTTAAACAAGTTCTGTTATTTACCAAATATATACTTATAGTATAATTTGAGATTTTTGAAAACTATATTTAAAATATTAGCCATTAATTCCATTTTCTTGAAATTAAATTACAAATTTGTACAGTAAAATATTTGGTAAATTATAAAATTAATTTTAAAATTCATAAAAATGTTATATAATAAAACGATATAAAAACAAATCTTCCTTCTTACGTTTATCTCCAGTTATATCTTTGTAACCAGAAGAAAATTGTTCTAAAGTTAAGTGATCTCTAATAACTTGATTATTTAAATCATGGTAGTTTTCTAATTTGCGTATAGACATGTACTTCATTGATACTTCATGAGGTTCTTTTAAAAAGTTTAATTTATCTTTTATTAATTTCATGCAGTTTAATAAATCCCTTCTGTATATTCCGTTTTCTTTTTTAAATTTGTATTTGTTATTTTTTTTTTCGTATTTTTTGTAAACATCTAAAATACATTCATACGGTTCAGGAGAAATCCATTCTCTATTAATTATCGGTATAAGTTCAGTAAGTTTATCACTAAATAATTTTAAGTAAAATGATATTTCAGCACCTCTTTTATTCATTGCTCTTGCAAATTCGCAGAACCGATACATATATGTAAAGGCCATACTTTCAATAGCGTTCAAAAAAATCGTATAAGCCAATTTATATTTTTTTTTGTGCGTACATCTTTTAACCACAGCCTCCAATGTTATATTTATTATTTCTATACCTTCATAAGGAACTTCAGTATAATCTACTGGGTGACTGTAAGGTACTGGACAAAAGTTTTCCCCATCATGTGATTTTATATAATAAGGATGTTCTACAAGAATGACATGATTCATATCGCGATATTCCATTTGAAGTTTATCTAAGTCTTTTTCTGTGATATTATTTAGATCAACACAAATCGATTGGTTGATTGTTTGAATAAAAATTATGATTAATTTCCATTTATT